ATGCCGAAACGAACGGACACGACCCCTACGCCGGTCTGTATGGATCGCCCGACGACTCGAACCCATCTATGCCTGCCCCTCGTCTCCGCCTGCGACTGCGAAAGCCCGACCCTCCCAACCGCCATCCCCACCATGCCCCGCCCAAGTCAGAGTACGCGTCGCTCGAAGAGTGGCTAGGACAAGACGACCCGTTAGACGGCGAAGAGGCGCTTCGGATCACACAGGAAAAGGCCGAGGAAGAGGCCGAGCGCCGGCTGCAGATTGTCGAGGCTGCTGAACATGGAGTTCTGAGCCAGGCACGATGCAGCGTATATGCGCCCGAAGCAGCCCCAGAGCCACCGCCACAATACGGACATTGGGACCACGTGGTCGCTCATGCCCTGCACTTCAACAAGCTATTGAAGGAGGAAAAGGCATTCCATCGGCGGACGGCTAAGATCTTGGCCAGAGAAGCATACGACTTCTGGAAGAACAAGTTCAAGCGCAAGAGCCAAGATGAGATTGAACAAGAAGAGACCGAGCGGCAAGTAACGAGATACAAGCAACTCGTGAAGGATGTCAAGGACGCATGGGGCTTGGTCAGGGTTGAGATCGACAAGGAACGTGTGGCTAAATACGAGGAGGAACAGTTGCAGCTCGGACACAAGGCCATGGACGACATGTTCAATCAAGCGCAGGAGATTTTGGGTGGTCGTAACGCTGGCGACGGGGCCTCCTCTTTAGTCAGCGAAGACCGTGATTTCGATGAGATGGAATCCGAAAGCGGGGTGTCGCATGCCTCACAGCAACAGCACGACGACAATATCATGTCTTCTAGCTCTGATAGCGAACAAGAGAATGAGCAGGACGAAGATGCGAATCTCACGGCCGAACAACTACGCGAGAAGTACGGACAACTTCCCGATCTCCCCGAGAGCAGCTCCGAGGCGGAAGCCAACTCAGACGACGGCGAAGACGATGACGACGCGGATTCCGAAGAGGGCACTCCTGCGCCAACACCCGATCCCAACCTCGATGTCGAGAACACGAGCGAGCTTCCAGAGAACCCATTCCAACAGACGAACGGCTTTCACGATCACGAAGAAGATGAGGATAAACAGAAGCCAGACTATATCGATCCTGCTACAGTCGAGCTTGATCAGGTTGACGATGCTTTGCTGGATTCCGAGGACGATAAAGGCTCAGAATCTGGTAGCGAGGCTTGGTCGAGCAACGAAGGCTCGGATAGCGAGGGTAACGGTGAGGAAGAAGCCGATTCGGAAGAAGACAACGAGGATGAGAGCGAGGGAGAAGATCTAGGCATGATGGGCTTTTTGGCACCCAAAGACATCAAGAAACTGAAAGAGGCCGCCAAGACCGCGATTGACGACGTGGAACCGGAAGACCCGATTCCTCAGTCTGAGCAAACGAATGGCCATGCTACGTCGCCCGCGGAAGTCACTGAGGAGAAGCCCCATCTCAACGGTCATGATTCAGTCGCTGAGGTAGACGAGCCACATGTGAACGGGCATACTGAAACAGAACCTGCTCCTACCGTCGAGGCGGCTGAGCCAACTCCGATGGAAGATGTAGTACATTCTAAAAGTGCTTCTCGATCACGGCATACATCATCCCCACCAAGGACCGAGGTGCCATCCTTACTACGCGGTACCCTCCGAGAGTATCAGCACGATGGTTTGGACTGGCTGGCGAACCTGTACGAATCCGAGACAAACGGAATCCTCGCAGACGAGATGGGTCTGGGCAAGACTATACAGACCATCTCACTTCTCGCTTACCTCGCTGTTCGTCGCGAGATATGGGGACCACATCTAGTCGTTGTACCCACCAGTGTCATGCTCAATTGGGAGATGGAGTTCAAGAAGTTCTTGCCGGGCTTCAAGATTCTGACATACTATGGCGACATCAACGAGCGAAAACGAAAGCGCATGGGCTGGCGCAACACGGGCAAGGACATGTACAACGTCGTCATCACCTCTTACCAGCTCATCCTCCAAGACGCAGCAGCCTTCAAGATGCGTCCCTGGCGTTATCTGGTACTTGATGAAGCCCACAACATCAAGAACTTCAAGTCTCAACGATGGCAAACTATGCTTAACCTTAGAACAGAGCGACGGTTGTTACTGACCGGTACGCCTCTACAGAACAACATCGACGAGCTTTGGTCACTGCTCTACTTCTTAATGCCAGCTGGCTTTGCCGGAGAAGGTCGCATCGCGGGACTGGAGGAGTTTACCTTGGCTCTGAAGAATCCCACCTCGCAAATTCTCGATCAAGGTCGGCAGCAGCTTGATGCCGAAGCGCAGAAGGTTGTCAAGCGCCTTCACGAAGTCCTGCGCCCTTATCTGCTGCGAAGGCTGAAATCAGAGGTCGAGAAGCAAATGCCAGGGAAGTATGAGCACGTTGTCTACTGCAAGCTTTCTAAGCGGCAACGTCAGCTCTACGATGGATTCATGGGCCGCGCCTCGACCAAGGAGATCCTGTCCTCCGGCAACTACATGTCGATTATCAATTGCTTAATGTCATTACGAAAAGTCTGCAATCACCCCGACCTGTTCGAAACACGAGCCATTGTAACGTCCATGGCCATGCCCAAATCAGTCGCTGCTCAGTACGAGATCAAGGACCTTCTCATCAGGAAGCGACTGCAAGAGGGCATGGAAGATAAGCAAGTAAATCTAGACGCCTTGAACCTGGTGTTTGCGCGACGGGAACAGACGCAGTTGGGTCATGCTAGACGCACCTACCCTATTCGCGCCACACGGCCCCTGGAGGATCTGATCGAGCGCCAAACACGGCGCATCAACAAACCCATCGACAAGGGCACTTCTTCACTACAAGCGACTGTGGCAGCAATGGCGAAGCGAGAGCAAGTTGCCGTTCGGGCCCATTTGCAAACATGTCTGAACCTTACTCGCGCGCGCACCCAGTTCATGCCGATTTACGGAAAGGACATCATTGACGCACTGACCGTCGATTGGCACGATTTTACATTTGGGGCTATCACTGAAGGAAAGAGAGTGGCTAAGCCTCTCCTCTACCGAACCCATCACACTCCACATCCCAACTATCACGGCTTTGGTCAGGCTCAAATGCAACCAAGACAAGAGGAAGCGATTCACTATGACATCGTTCAACGGCATCATGGTCTACTAGGGTTCAGGTCACCACGCTCTCATCGTGTCTTGTCGCATTGGCACGATCAACAAATCACACATTTCCACGATATGATCCCAACATTGGAGCAGCGTGCTGAGGCTATGGAGCCTCTTATTACCCGCTTCACATGCGTTACGCCTGCCGTTGCAGCCGAGGAGCTAGCACCTCTGACCCTGTCTAGGCGCGGTGTCCAGCTGATCCGATCGTCGGAGGCAGCACACCGAAAAGACCCCTTCCATTCTTCGCGCATCCGACAATCGATCGCCTTCCCAGACAAGCGTCTCCTTCAGTACGATTGTGGCAAGCTTCAGCGTCTTGCAACACTCCTACGAGACCTACAGGCTGGTGGTCACCGTGCGCTCATCTTCACCCAGATGACAAAGGTTCTCGATATTCTCGAGCAATTCTTGAATATTCATGGATATCGCTACCTGCGCCTCGACGGATCTACCAAGATCGAACAGCGCCAGATTCTTACTGATCGCTTCAACAGTGACCCTCGCATCTTATGCTTTATCCTGTCATCTCGATCTGGAGGTCTCGGTATCAATCTCACAGGCGCTGACAGCGTCATCTTCTACGATCTTGATTGGAACCCCGCGATGGACAAGCAATGTCAAGATCGAGCTCATCGTATCGGTCAAACGCGCGATGTGCACATCTACAAGTTCGTCAGCGAATACACCATCGAAGCCAACATCCTCCGCAAGTCGAACCAGAAACGTCTTCTCGACGATGTCATTATCCAAAAGGGTGACTTCACCACAGACACCTTCAACAAAGTCACCTGGCGCGACGCACTCGACGAGAACCTGGGAATCGACACTAACGACGAAGCGGGTGCAGCCATGGAACGTGTGCTCGGCGAGAAGATTGGACTGCTGGGTGACGCACGTGTCATGGGTACAGTGGAGGATACCGAGGATCGCACGGCTGCTTCCATCGCACAGAAGGAGATTGTGGATGAGATCCAGGAAGACCAAGTCGACTTCAACGAGAGTCTTAACGCCACGAGAGCCGCCTCGGAGGCCGCCGCTGCCGCCAAAGCGAACGAAGACCTCGATATCGACGGCAACGAGAAGGAACGGAGACACGTCGATGAATACATGCTTAGCCTGTATCGGGAAGAGTACGGCAAAGAACCGTACCGGCCGCCAACGGACCGGCAGAAGAGGAACCGAAAGGGACAGGATCCTCATGTGCGGCATAGAAAGAAGAAGTATTAGTAATACGGTGTTCTTGCTATTGAGCGGCTTTTTGGGTTTTAGCGAGCGTGTTGAAAACGGGGAAAATTATGTATTAGTAGTTGTACAATCGTAGAAAGAGCGAGTAGCATTTGCATGGTCTGGCGTTGCTTCCAATAGGGAGAAAGAGAAATGAGATTAGTGTACAGTCATACTGAAGAAGTCCTGTGATACTGGTGATCGTTGAACATGCTGCCAGCATCAACAGCAGGGTTATGAACCCGAAGGTACGAAGTCCTTCCTCCAGTCATTTTAGCAATCTGGTAAAGGAGAAAGAGGCTATGCTGTGTGAGGACCGCTGCAGATGTCGAAGGGTGTAATCCAGAGCCTGCCACTCAGAGTGGACCTTGAGGACTACATCGGTCCGAACGGTGAGTAATTTCGAACCGCTGGTGATATGCATACCTCAAAGCGAAAAGCAGACGGTAGTCTCTAGTCAGTGAATTCGGGTCGTCACCGCCTGCTGGACCCTGTCCGTTGCTCCTGCCTCCAGCTCACTGCCAAGACCGCGCTACTAGGCCCAGTACTTTTCAGTCACCGTCACATCAATACAACTACACATACAGTTACCTGTCACGATAACCATAATCGCAAGCGATGGCGACTCCAGAGAAGAAGGAGGAGCCCAAAAAGGTCACTCCATTGCTCGAGCTGCCCAAATGCTCCAAAGCTACTCCCTCACCTAACCCGTAAGTACGAACAAGGCTGTATACAACTACTCGGCTGACACACTAGACAGAGATGAATATGGCGACATGATTACCATTGTAGTCGGCTCCGCGGAGAACGTGCGCAAGTTCTATACCTACCAAGGCCTTCTTGCCCACTACTCCACCTACTTCAAAGCTGCCCTCAAAGACGACTGGAAAGAAGGTACTCTCAAGACTGTTAACCTAAAGGACGACAATCCGGAGGTCTTCAAAGCCTTTTTTCATTGGATCTACACCGGAAAGCTCTACTTCGCGCTCGACGCTTCAGGGAAAATTCCTCTGAGTGAGCAGCTTATTTGCGAGATCTATGTGTTTGGCGACGCACGCGGAAGTACCAATCTCTATAACGCCGCAATCGACCTGCTTCTTCAGAAGACACATCAGGAGTGGAAAGTCCCGTTAGACCAAATCCCCTATGTGTACGAAAACACCCTTCCAGGATCAGCTCTTCGAAAATATCTTGTGGATGACGTCGTCGAAACTTATCGATTCAGGAGGCTTGCCGACCCGACCCAGCGAGAAACTGAGTTACCACGATATCCCCAAGAATTTCTTGCCGAGATTGTTGTAGCATTCATGGCTCTTGGATCGAAGCCGATTCCATCAAGCGCGGGTTATGGAAACATGCCTATTGGCCAAGATAACTGGGCAAAGTACATCAAGCCTTTGCTATGTTCAAGGTACCACAATCACCCAGCCCCTCCGGCTTGATCGCGTTGATGCTGGTACGACGCTCTATGCGCGCAGAAAATCGGGTTGGAGAATACATGATCGCTCTTGTCTTATAACACAATGGGACAATGATGCTAGACAACTACCAGGTGGCAGCTTCGCGACGGAGGATCAACCCCTAGGTCTTCAATAGTCAGATGAATATAAGCTTCTGGCCCATTCTTCACCGTCGTTAGACTTGATGCTAGCGTACGAGAGGCGTCTTTCATGCGGCCTGTGAGATCTTTCCTGATCGTCTTAATTAATCTAGGGCAAGGAAAAAGTGGTTGTCGGCATGCGCACCTGGGAAGACTGGTTTCACAGAGCAGGTGTCGACCAAATAATTTTGCACAATATAAGCCAAATCAATAACCAAGACTTTCACATACGACCACAGAATCTTGAGAACACGGCTTCCCGTCCGCTCAGCCCTAGTTAAGCAAGATATCGGCGGATTAGTACTCGGGTGGGTGACCACCGGGGAATACCCGCTGTTGTATGTTTTTGCCTATTTTTGCCTTTTTTTTTGCCGCAATAACCTACTCTGGAGAAAAGTCAAAAGAAGGTATGTAACGTTTTTTTGGGTGTTGCAGAGCTGGGTTGGGGCAGGAATAATGACGTGTTTCGATCCCTAGACTAGCTGGACGGCGAGATCCCTTCACTCCCACTCTCGACCGCCTCTTCTTGATCTCTATCGCCATCATAATCCTCGTCTGTATTCGCTGTGTCGACCTTCTCCTCTCGTTCCAAGTATGGTGGCGGTGCTAATTCTTCGGTCTCGCCCTCTTCGTCTTTGCCTTCGACCCACACCCTGTTCAACTCTGCCTCGATTTCCTCTCGCCGCTTCTTCCACTCCTCGACCTTTGCAAGCCTTTCCCTCAGCTCTGCTAGCTCCTTCTCGACGCTCGACTTCTCAGACTGGGTGCCTATGCGTTGGAAGTCCCATTCGTCGCCGTGGTCACCCATGCCGAGGGTTAGTGTATAGTCGTGGTAGCGCTTTAGGGATGCGCGGGTGGATATCGTGATCAATGCTGGAGTGTGTGAGTTAGTTGAAGTCATGATGAAAAGGGTAGTGGGATACTTACTAATACCCTTGGCTTTCGCACGTTCGTAGAGTAGGCCTTCCACATCGCTACTAACCGCACTTGTGCCCTCGTCCACGAATGCGTACCGGGGTTCATGATAGAGTAGTCTTGCAATGCCCATTCTCTGCTTCTCGCCACCGCTAAACACATCTTTCCACACCTTCTTCGTGTCCCAGCCACCTTCTCTATCGGGCAAGTAGCCCAGTTTGGCTTCTTCGAGGACCTGTGACAGTTCAAAGTCGCGGCGGCCTGCATCCTTCATGTCGGCATCGGTGTGAGGATAGATGACTTGGTCGCGGAGGGTGCCGGTAGAGAGGTAAGGTCGTTGAGGAAGGAACATGATGCCGTCCACGCCGATGCTGCGCGGACGACTGACAAGACCGCGGTATGCAGGCCAAAGACCTGCGACAATGCGCGAAACTGCGCTCTTGCCGCAGCCATTGGGTCCGGTGATGAGAAGATGCTCGCCTGAGTGAACGATGAAGGATAGGGATTCTAGGAGTTCTTCGCCGCCCATGGGGTGCAGGGCTGGGGCGACGACTGGAACGTGTTCAAGGCGGATTCCATCGAAGCCCTTGTGAACTGTGCCTTGGATATCCGAGACGGAATAGAGTTCGGGTCGCGTGCCGGGGGGAGGGTAGTACGCTTCCGCGTGGACGCGATGGAGCGTGCTGATCAGCGTGTAGACGCGTGATGTGTAGCCGGCCAGTTCAGAAAGATCTTTGATACTGTACATCATGCGACCACCAGCATCGGCAAGCGACAGCATGAGTCGCTTGTTTGTGATAAAGTCCTTCATGCGACTTCGCTCGCGGTGCGATTTCTCTCCTCCAGGTAGCTCGGGTGTACCTCCTACACCACCCCATTCGGGTAAGAAGACTGGGAGCGAAGTGACCAAGTATCCGAAAGCCGACCATGAGTACTTCAGCACAAAGTCTTCGAGCATGTTGTACCGAATCTTAAGGCTGTAGATGCCCTCCATCCAGTGCTTGAGGTCCCTGAACCCTCGTTCCAGGAAGTGCTTTTCCATCTCGTCACCACCGTAGAAAGCCACTTCTTCCGCGTTTGCGATGAGTCGAGAATGCAGAGCGCGGAATTCGCCTTCTCTTCGTCCTTCGACAGCTTTGAGTTTGCCAAAGGGCGGAGAGAGCTTACGTAGCACTGTCGCGGTAAGGAAGTAGTTGCTCAGCAGCCCAGTAAGCGCTAACGGTCCTAGAGAGCGGTAGAGCTGGTAGTTGAACACGCAAAGATCCACAAACGGCTTCCCTAAGCTCGAGTACAACGATGCCGCACTCGCACAGAATAGCGTCAGATCCTGTGTGATGTATTGGTCTGCCCCGACACCTACACCTCCATCCAGATTCTGTAGCTTGTAATAGTTCAGATGGTCGTTCAGGTATAAGTCGTGGATGTACCGCGTGAGTCGTGTTCGGAACGCGATGGAGACTTTACTCTGCAGGAACTTGATCATAGCGTTTGTATACGAAGAGAAGGTGCCGACACCAAGCCATTTGACGATGCCCCAGAGGAAAGCCTTGCCGTTGCCTGCTACGAGGTCGCGCACGATCTCTCCGTCGAGACGCGCTACGACCAGTGACAAATACGTCCGCAGCATGAGGAAGACGCTATGGCTGACCAGCAGACCCGTCTCCTTGCTATTCCAACGCGGTATCATGATATTCAGGAGGCTCAGAAACTGGTGTAGGAAGGCCAAATTGAGCCCCGGCTTCGTCTGCGGTGGCGGCGCTTGCGGGTCGCTCGAGGTCGTGTCAGCCATGCGGGCTGCGCGTGGCGGCTGGAGGAAAAGTCTGCGATGCGCATCGAATGTGGTCTGTTTGGTGGGATGGATGACTACCTTGGACGTCGAGTCGCGGTAGGGCACGTAAATCGTTCTGGAGCCATCTTTGTTTCTGAGCCCAGAGTTCCTCCTCAGCAACCGTCGGCCGGTCTCCTTCTCTGCGCGCCGACTCCTGTACCATCTTGTGCCTCCATATCCGGTGCCTATGATGGTGAAGAGGAGGGTGATGGTGGATAGCAGCTTCGTGAGCTTGGAGGCGCCGCGGACACGGGACTTGAGGAGCGTCGCATAGCGGTCGTAGAGTGCTAAGAGAGGGTCATGAGGCTGTCGTAAGGTAGACTGGGCGGCCATTGTTGACCGTGTACATCCTCTCTGGGAAGACTGTCATTTCTCGCAATGGCGGTGCTGGAGGTTGAAGATGGTGTACCTTACATGTGAGCCAGTGCTATGATGCTTGCTGCGGTTTGAGCCGAGGCATGTGAAGGTGCACGTGCACTGGGGAAATCCGGGGTGGCTCCACAACAGCTCGAGAAACACAGCCGCAGAGCAGGCCACTGTTGTCTCGATTTCCGCGCATCGACGAGATATGTTTCCTACTGTTATTAAGAGTATAAGATCGAACCACTTTTGAATTAACATTACTAGGTATTGAGCTCAATTACCACGCACCATGGGAAACCGTGGTTATTAAACAGCAGCAAAGCCCCTCCAATGCACCCCAAGTTCTTTTCAATTATCGATCCTTCTCATCAGCTCAAGCCATCGCAGATTCTTTGTGTTCAATCTGCTTCGTTATCATACACAGTTGGCTCTTCAGCCAGCCTCCTAGAAATTCGTACAGGTGCCCCGCCTGCTCGCAAGTATCGCCATTACTTCCCCAATTGGCCAGTGCCTCAACGAGTTGCGCACATCCTCGCAACTCATGTAGGACTATCTGCCTTTTACTTCTTTCTTGCTCACCGTCGTCAAATTTATACTGGGTGAATGGAGATGACTGCATGTACAGGTTGTAATTTTCCGCGTTCCCATTACTCGTCACAGACGAAGGGGAGAAAACGGCCTGCGAGAAAGGTAGAGGCTGGCAGTAATCCCAAGGGAGCGATTCCGAGACCGGGTAGCTCGTACGGAGTCCGCGACTGTTGCTAGCAGCGGTCTGGTACCAGGCCAAAATCTTGGATGTTATGCTAGAGTACAGCATAGCAAGATGTGGGTCTGACGAGCATGGACACCTGAGAAGCTTCGAAATGTTCTCTCGTGCCGACCGAACGGTGTGAAGAACGGCATCGAATGAATCCCTCGAGTGGCCCGGGTATCTGACGTGTGGCAGACTCTCGAGCGTCGAATAGGCCAACGGATAGCAACTATGGCAGTCGTCCGTCGCGACTTCGGCGTGGGGTGTCATGTTCTCATGACCTCCTACGGTTTGGCTCATTGGACTATATGGGAGAGATATAGAGGAGGCAGAGCGTAGATGCTCCATGGTCTTTGTACCACTAGGATGATATTCCATGGGATTTGCGTCATCGCCGCTGATGTATTCGTTGAGAGTCTCCCAGGTGGGATATTGAGACTGTACCGTCTGTTCCTGAGTGAAAGGATCTTGAAAGAACTGGTCTGTCCCAATGGCTGGCATAGGTTCCGGCTGAACATGTTGTCTCGACAGGACGTCAGTGTCCATATAGGTGGTATCTTGAAGGATCTCATTCCGGTACGGTGGTTCAGGTGCAGTCTCGGAGTCGAAACCTGAAGGAGTGGATAAGCTTGGTGTAGGTGACCAGTCTGAAAGCCAATTCGACGTGACCTCCGAATCGGTCCGCCGAACGGAAGGAGTCTGTAGCATAAATGCGCCGAACTCATTGCCGCTTGGTGATAGGCGTTGCCTGGTGACTTTGACAAACGGAGACCCATCTGGGTTCCTCTTCCTAGTCCGGCCTGGCTTTCCGTGTTTTCTCGAGACGCCATATATGCATTTCGCATTAATTTGAAGGCAGCGTGCGCATGTTGGATGCTCTTTGCTGCACTTGACTTTCGACACGGCACATGCGTCGCATGAAGCCCGGAGCTTCAAATTCCCGTCTCTTCGAGGTGTGAATGGTTTGGGTGCTGAAGTGGGTGTA